GCTGCCTGCGCCCTGCCTTGCCTCTGGTCTTCTTGACTTGGTCATAACACCGGGCAAAGGTTAAGTTGGGGGAGAGGGTGCGGTCGATGCATTGCAAGTCTGCTATTACTAAAAGCTTATGTACTCGTAAGTCACAACGATTGTATTCAGCCCACTGAAGCACGCGGTGAACATTGTCAGAATCGACGGGCGAACTGTCATCTGAACCTCTGCTCGGTAAATTTCATGAGATCGCTTCTCATTACCTCCCCCAGATGGCTGTTGTCCGTCGAAATCCTTAAATGTTTCTTTAATAAGTGTAACAACATTGTCTTAGTTCTCCCCAACCACCTTCCTTTACTTTTCAGTGCACAGCAACTGTGCGAGACTTTACGACATCGTGGATGGCCGGTCAGCTATATTTCCAGTGGGCTTGACCAGGGGGAGCGATTTAAGGCTTTCCATCGCTTACGATCCTTCCACTGTAGGATCCTAGTGTCTACAGATCTGGTGAGTTTTCCACACCCTGAGGTGAAGGGAGTCTCCTCATGAACCTTCAATATCGCAGCCTCTGTTTGCTTTATATTTGTTCTCAGCCAGTAAATGTTGGAAAGGGCCTGCCCTTTACCGGAGGAATATAAAGTAACCCCTCACATTTGTGTGTTCACTGTTCGTACTTTCAGACCTCTCGCGGCGTAGACGCTGAAAACGTAAATCTCGTTGTGAGCCTTGAAATTCCATGGAAGCGTGAAGTTTACTTGCATCGCATTGGCAGAGCAGGACGTTTTGGTAAGTGGGCTGATTTCCTTAACATCGACATTTGTCTTCTTAAGTAAAAACAGAGTTTCTTGACCATTTGCTGCATCCTAATTACCCCTAAACGTGCTAGCAGGAAGCATAGGTCTTACCCTTTGATATAAGAGGACTGTTTTGTCCCCTTGTTCTTTCTCAATTCGAAACGACGATATTGCTTCCTCTTATTGTATGCTTATGTTGTTTGTACATTCTCTATCATAGGAAGTTATGGAGCGTCCATTATTCTTGTCTCAGACAAGGGCGACGACTTGAAGTCACTGTGCAGGATAGAGGATAAGAACGCTACACCCATCCTTGAATTGCCAGGTAGTAACCTGCCTCAGATCAATTTCATCTCCTGATAGTACCTTACTGTGTTTTTTTTCCTTATAATCTGTCACTACTTCTTCATCCAGAGCCACTTCCCGCAAACCTGGCCGACTCTGATTGCCAAGTGGACACCTCGGAACTTGTGACTGTCACAAAACTCACAAATCGCAGAAAACCACCCGCAGTACCACTGGACCCACTGGATAACCAGATCAGTGCGAAGGATGATGCACCTGTTGCTTCCCCCTCCAACCAACCAAATCGGCCATCCAGATCGTCTATGGAAATCAAGCCCACTCGTTTACCGCCAAATGGTCGCCGTACTGGCAAGCCCCCGTCACGCCTTGTAGAGAGTGTTTTGGCCTATGCTGATGCTATGAAAAAGCACGTGAGTGTAATTATAGCTTTTTTTTCTCTGGATTTTGAGTATAGAAAACAATGTTCTGTTATTCAAAAGTGCACTTTGTATTTTAACAGGAGCTGTGGCATCTGACAGTTGACAATGGTTCTGCCACCGAGCTGCCCAGCCCAGAGCCTATCCAGCTGCCTCATAATTTGGAGGTGGAAGCCGTGCAGTGTCTGACAGAGTTTATCGATCGAACCACGTCGGCCAATGACTGTTTACAACGGGTTTCACTCGATTACCCGTTAGTGACCTCGCGCGAAGAGGGCACTGAGAAAAAACCGTTAGCCGAGGACTCTGTCCAGGAACAAAAAATATCGGTGAGCGCTGCAACGGGAGTCAAAAATACTGCTGCTGTTACTGTTGCCGCTCCCGTTGTTTCAAAGATGTCAGACGCTACTTGCACCGCGGGTCAGTCAACTCACCACCTTACTTCACGTCAGAGAGCTGTTTGGAATGAGTATTGTCGCCTATCCGCCTGGCGTGATTACTTCTACACTTGCTGGGAACAGGAGCTAGGCCAGTATCAAGAGAAACTTCGCCAGTACGAGGGGCTTAAACAACAACTGGCTCAAAATGAATCGTGACATTGCCTATTTTTGAATATATTCTATTTTGAGTATATGGTGTTCTTCTCTAACTTCGAGGCAGTTTTATTGCTTTTGATTTCAGCTATCCCACCGACACAGTAACCACTAGTTTATCTTAAGTCCTGTGATTTTACTTCTTTGGTTATTTATCCTCAGACCTAGCTGTACAGTAATGCATATAACCGTACGAATAATGTGAGCGAACGTTTGACGCCCTAAGTTAGAACACTGAATTGTTGTCATTCTGGGGGAATCAAGAACGTTGAGATACGTTGGGGGTACTAATAGTCTAATACTGTCATGGACATTGAGGGAGGAGGCCTGCTTAGGCTTCGTCGGCGTGGTTTGTTGCGTGAACGAACATGTTGGGTTTAACTTGGGTTAAGAGAGCTTGTACGAACGTCACCTATGAGCATAAGGTCGGGTTTGCTCATCGTATGGCCCCTGTCGGTGTAAGGGTCCGATGGTGGAAGTGTCGCTGGGAGT